CAGGCCAAACTGGTCTCTCCCCTCGAAATTCTCATTTTGTAGTAGGTCTGACATGGGACTGGGGATCTATTTACCAACCTTCCAGGACCTAGAATCTAGCTTTTCAATCTGTAAAGTGCATACAAATCACCTGGTCTCAGTAACACAGATCCTTGTGTCCTAGGTCTGGGGCAGGGCAGGAAGAGTAATTTCCAGCAAGACCCCGGAGGTGATGTCAATTGCTGCAGATCCAAGATCACAGGCGGCTTTGCCAAGTTCAGGTGACTCTTATCTTTAGGCCTGCTGGAGAAGCCAGGATTTGGAGCTGTTCTCAACCTCAGCACACTTGGGTAGCTTTTAAAACATACTAAGGTCCAAAAAAACCAAACAAAGCAAAACACAAAAAACTTTAAAAACCCCAAACTATACTAAGGCCCAGATCCTACTACAGACCAATTTAAATCAGAATCACTGAGGTTTAAAAAAAAAAATCACTGAGATTTTTCGGTTTAGTTTTTTAAATTTTGAATAATCAGATGTTGAGACTCACGGATTTCATGGGTCCCCCACCAGTATGGAAATACATTAACGAACAAATGTAATAGAATAGACCATCCCATGGGCTTGTGGGCTAGGACTTTTGACTCGATTACGTGCACTGTATATACAGACCATGTAAGTTGCTAGAGCAACGTGGGTTTGAAAATGAGTGGGGACGTGAGCATGTCCTGGAGTTCACAGACAAGCCATGGGGACAGACAGACAAAGAATTCAAGGACACCTTGGCTCCCCCCACCCACCACCACCAGCCTGGGTCTGACAGCACAGTAAGAAGCCTCTGTATAAGCTGAGCAATGAAGAGTTAACAGGACTATGTCATGAAGCAGGCAGGGCCTTCCAAGCACAGAGGACTCAATGTATGCAGTTTGGAGGTGTGTAAAAGATCACCACAGGTTCAGGGAAGGGAACCAACGGCGGTTGGCCTTGTATCTGGAGCCTGGGGGTGTGAAGGGGAGTGGCAGAGATAGGCCCAGATGATTGCAGGGACCTGGGGAATGTGAGCTGAAGAGAAAGGAAGGTCACTGACCCCTTGCTAGGGAATAACCACACAGGTGACTTTATCTTGGCTCACAGTAGCCCAGACGCCACTGATAGATTGTGTAAAGCTTTTTTTTGTAGACATAAGGGCCCATGTAGTAGCCTGAGGGCACTAGACAACTTTCTAGAAAGCATTTGGCAGGAGTAGGGGAGTAAAGGGTGCTTCAGCAAAGATCCATCAGCAACACTCCTAAGTCCCTTCTCCTAAGATCCCAGGCCCTCTTGGGCAAACACCCTTTTTCTGCCAAGCACTGAGTTGGAATTGCCAGAAACAAGGCAAACAGCTTTACCCTAGGGAGTTGGTAGTGGGAATGGGATTCACCCTCGCAACTGACTATAACATAAGGCAGGAGCTTGGAGCTGCCCCAAACTTGGTGCTATGGGAAGGCAAAGGAAAGAGCCAATTTTGCCTGGGTTGGTCAGAGGCTTTTCCAAGAAGGCAAAGAGACTTAAAGGGTTAACCTTTTTAACTGGTAAAGAGTTGGGCCCCGGTATGGCTCAGTTGGTTAAGCATCAGCTCACGCCCTGGTATCAGGGCCATGAGATCAAGCCCTGTTTTGAGCTCTGCACTGAACAAGGAGCCTGCTTAAGATTCTCAATTTCAAAAAAAAAAAAAAAAAAAAAAAAGATTCTCTCTTTCCATCTCCCTCTGCCCCTCCCTGCCCTCTTTCTCTCTCTAAAATAAATAATTCTTTTAAAAAATGGATGAAGAGTCAGGTAGCCCAGGTGGCTCAGTGGTTTAGCACCGCCTTTAGCCGAGGGTGTAATCCTGGAGACCCAGGATCAAGTCCCACACCAGGATCCCTGCATGGAGCCTGCTACTCCCTCTACTTGTGTCTCTGTGTGTCTCATGAATAAATAAATAAAATCTTAAAAAAAAATAAATGGGTGAAGAGTCGATGGTAAAAGGGGGGAAGAGGCTTAAGGAACCAAGGATTTGCAAAACACTGAGAGACTGCACATGGCTGAAGCACAGAATGTCATGGTGCATGAGGTGGACAAACAGGCAGAGGGACCAGACGTCCAGATCTGCCCTCATGCCAAGTTAAGAGGTCTGGATTGATTGGGGGAGGCGAGAGGGAACCATTGGAGGTTTTTAACCTGAGGAGTGAGATGATCACAGGTAGGTTCTAATATCCTCTAGGATCTAATCTGGCAGCTGATGTGTAGGCTAGAGAATGGGAGAATTGGAAGATGAGGCCAGAAAAATGAAAGGCTAACTTTATGATGAAAATAGAAGGTTTTGAGTTCCAACCTTCATAGGTCCAACAAGAGCCAGTTAAGGGCCTGGGGTGTCTCTGACCAGGAAGTAAGAGCAGGAGGGGCAGAGGTCTGCACTGCGGCCTGCAGCACGGGGGTTCCTGTTGGCCTGGGAGTTCCTTGGAGTCTGTTGTGCCCTAACTGCATATTTAACTTCAATCTTTCCCTTTTCTTCCGGTTTTACCACAGGAGACTAAGTCCATTCTAATCTGGAATGAATTATTTATGTGTCTAAACACTCTGGATGCCAGTCTGATTTATTTATATTTCGAATAATACAACTGAAGAGGAATTCACACAAGACAGGGAAAACATAATTTTGAAGTGAATGCCCTTCCCCAACTATTGCCTGGTTTATCATTGCAAACCAGTGTGGCCTTGTCATTATCCTATGGGGCCCCGAATCTATCCCCGAACACTAATTAGATGCCAAGTGCCTCCGTCTGACAGGCAATATTTGGACTATCAGACCCCACCACCTGACCTTTTACAATCTTATCTCCTGCTACTACGACTTTCTCCACTAGTCCAAATTCCAAGTCATTCAACTGAGGCCCAGTTCAAACACCTCCTGCCCTATGAAGCTATCTGTGGTGATTCCCTCTCAAGGGGAAAGGCCCCTCATGCTTCCGAGTTTTCAGGGTCTTTTGTTTTTATATATAAACATTAGACTTTAAGAACCCCCAGGGGAGCTGGGGCATGAACAGTGACACACAGCAGGTACCTCCGGAGAGTTTGCTGAAAGTAGGTAGCATTGGTCTCCTGCACCGCAAGCAGCCGTGCAGCAGGCTGGTTCAAGCAGACCAGACAAAATCTCAGAGATGGCATCTATAAAGTGCTGTCCAGGGAAAGCCACCCACGCAGGGCTAACCCATGACTAATATTTGGCCCCAGTGGAAGTTGCCTCTTGGGACTAACCCCATGTAAAGTGCCTATTCTTCACACACATTTCAGGAGTCTCCCGAAGACTTTCTCCTCTCCAGACTGACCTTTCCGTTTCCTTCCACCCCTCACACCTCTTGTGTGCCTCAGTTTACAAGTTAGAGCCATTATTCCTAGTGATGCTTACAACGGCCAAAGGGTTGGTGCCAGATAGGGGTTTGGACAGGGACTTGGGGCTTAGGAGCCAAGGACCTGTCAGAAGTGTCAGAGCTATTACTTCACCTAAGCCTTCCACTTCCCAGTGCAGTTGAGCCCAAGACCTGTAAGTTGCCTGAGGTTGAAAGGAAGGCGACTTTACTTTTAAAGGTTTTATTTGCCCCATGGTGGGCACAGAGAGGACTTAAAAATAAAATCCTAAAAAAAAAAAAAAAACATATAAAGGTTTTATTTATTCATGAGAGACAGAGAGAGACAGAGACATGGGCAGAGGGAGACGCAGGCCAGGCTCCCCCCCGGGGGCGCCCCATGGGGGACTCGATCCCAGGACCCCGGGGATCGGGCCTGAGCCAGAGGCAGATGCTCACCCACGGAGCCACCCAGGGGCCCCAAGGAAGGACCCTTTAAAGCGATGCGTCCGTCCTGACGCACACAAGGCGTTCCTCCGTGGCCTGCCTATCGGTAGCTGACAAAAGGCCACTCTGAGCGTTTGATGAAACCCAACCCAAGGCTACGACGGGGAGCGAGGCGGGCACTCCCAGGTTTTCAGCGCGGGCCACCCGCAACGGCCGACGCCCCCCGGCACTCCCGCAGGGGCCCGCTGGAGGACCGTCGGCCGCCGGCAGCACGGCGAGGCCACCGGACGGCGCCGAGGGACCGCTGCTCCGGCCGACGCGCCCGCCCCGGCGCCTCCCGGCAGGTGTCGCCAGGGCCCCACACCTGCGCCGCCGCGGCCAGGCGCTCTCGCGCGGGGTCACCTGACTCTGCGGGTCCCGAGGGCCGGCGCGCCGGCGTCCGCCTCACGTGACCGGGCCCGGGCGGCGTCGAGCGCGTCACGCTACGCCCCGCGCCCGGGTCGGTCAAGGTCTGCGCCTGCGCGGCCGCTGCTCGCCGGCTCGCGGACCTGCGGGCTGGCGGTACGGGGCGCCCGCGGCGATGGGTGAGTGCGGCGGCTGGCGGCACGGGGTGTCCGCCCGGGCGGTGCGCGGGGGGCGTGGGGCGCGGAGGGGCGTGTGGAGAGGCCGCCCCGCCCCCCCCGCGCGCCCTCCCGGGCGGGGCCCTCGCCGCCGGCGCTGGAGGAGGCGGCGCTCCCGCCCAGGCTCGGCTCCGCGCCCTCGCGGCTCCCGCCGGGCTTCGCGGGCTTCGCGGGCTTCGCGGGGTTCGCGGGCTTCGCGGGTTCGCGGGCTTCGCGGGGCGGCTGCCGGAACGAGCCTTTCCGGCGAGGAGGCTGTGCGCTGCGGCGGGCGCGCCCCTGCGGGGAGGTGCCTCCGCGGCCCACGAGCCGCAGGGCGGGGAGGGCCGGGCTTTGCCTTCGCCCCGGGGCGGGCGGCGTTGGGCGGCGGAAGGGTCCCTGCCCCCTCCCTGCCCGCCCGGGCGCGGGGTTCTGGGCCCCCCGAGCCGGCTCACAGTCGGAGACGGCGGGGGCCTCGGGGTGTGCGCAGCCCCCGCCCCTCTCATCGCACTTGGGGGAAATGGACGCCCGGAGGGCGGTGAGTGCAGCCGCAGCCGGTCAAGGCATCTGCGGCGACACCATGTTGCATCGCGTTGTGGGAGAAACTCCGTGGAACGGGGCTGTCGGGGGGCGGGCGGTTTGCTCATTTTAAACCCCTGTACTGATTCGCGCCGAGCGCGGTTAGATCGAGCGTGTCGATGCCTCAGTTATATTTACCCTTTGGGCATGACCTTTACTCTGCAGGGTCAGCTCTGCACAGCTGGTCTTAATTCCCACCCTCTACTCTCTCTACCTGTAAGGAGTGAAACAGAAAGCCCTGTAGTGGCGGGGTTAGGGTAGTGAACTTGCCAGTTTGAGCCTCCTTCCACCCTTCCTCGGAAAGGATTCAGTGAAATCAAAAGGAACCAGAACCGGCCCGGTCCGCTCGTGGTTCCAGACCACAGGTTAGGCACTTCGGATCTGGAGTCCCCCTTAGTGCATCTAAAGAAAAAAAAAAAATCATAAGCGGCTACTCCCCTGAGTGGAGATCTCTGGTTTCTCCTTTGATAGATTAAAGAGTTGGATTGGAGAATTGGATTTTTAAAGTAGGGACATTGCTTTGAATATTGTAGCAAGGTAGTGTGACAACTTGGATTGGAACCCAGACTGATCTTGTTCTGGTTGCTGACTCAGACTTGCTGACCGGTGGGAGTTCGCATCCTTTGAGAATTACACTTGTTCCCCTCCCCACCCACCCCCCGTTTTTGCACAAAGACCTTTGTGCTAGGATCACATCTGGGCCTTGCTTATACGTGTGGGCTGTAAATTTCAGCGAGCGGTTAGACTTTACCCTGTAATTATGCCACAAAATTTTGACACTTGTAGTTGCTTGAAAGTCACTATTAACTGTACTTCTATTCAGATAGCTCGAGTGTTTTAGGGAGCAAACAGTATAAAATTATGGTAAATTAGTTTTACAGGAAGTTGCGAAGAATTACCCATGTTAAGGAATTTAAATACGGAGATCAGTTTAGTAAAAAAAATTTAGCTGTGTTCACAGTATAAACAGTATAAACTCTAAACTCCATTGCCACAGAATACTGTGCACACTGTCCTCGCTTCTGTTAACCAAATTAAAAATCTGCTTATACCCTCCTGGTGCATAGCATGAAACTAGAAGGAAAACTTCTTTTCACACAGGTATTGGTGGTTTCTTTGAAGACATCACAAGTCTCAGGAGATTAAAATTTAGAGGGAAAGTTTTAAATCTGTACTCTAGGAGGGTTTCGTTACCTTGTTTTTTCTATGCCCAGGCCTATTTTTTAAAATTTGAGGCTCTAAATGTAGTGATTTTTTAAAAAAAACATTTTATTTATTTATTTATTCATAGAGACACAGAGAGAGGCGCAGAGACACAGGCAGAGGGAGAAGCAGGCTCCATGCAGGGAGCCCGATGTGGGGCTCGATCCTAGGTCTCCAGGATCAGGCCCTGGGCCGCAGGCGACGCTAAACTGCTGCGCCACTGGGGCTGCCCTACAGTGATGTTTTTAAAATATCTTAAAGCAATTATATACAAGGGTCAGTAAACAGCTAACTTCTGCTAGCCACAGTTTTCTGTTTAATAAGTCTCCATCGTTACAAAGAACCATGACAAACTAGATGAATTAACTTTAATTTGCAAAATTTTGGAAACTAAATCATTCCAGTAAAAATTAAAAGTGAACATGAACAAAATTTGGTTGGTCGTGTGTACAAATAACTTAGTTTGTATCATCAAGGAGCAATAGATTGTTAAACAGTTTGCAGGTGGTGGCTTTAGAATTTAAAATGCATCATGTATTCAGTATGTAAACGAAATTTCTTACATTTGTAAATTGTCACAATATGGTATATAATCTGAGTATTCTTGCAGACTTTATTATTCTTTAGTCCTGAGATGCTGAAGAACACAGCATTACATCCATGTAAAGCATTTGTTTTTAAAATGCTCAGTTTTTAAGATGTTGGTTAATCTTAGATTGGCAAGTGTGTGTCAGCTAAAACAGTAAAAAGTGAGGATGTAGAAGACTAAGTGATTAATAATTATCAGATTCTACCCTAACTACTTTTTTTTTTTTTACCCTAACTACTTTTAAAGCATTTTTAGACTAGAAATGCCATGGGGGGGGGAGGGGTGCCATTGGTTTCCTTAACTGGTTAGGAGCACAAAATGTTAACAGGAGGAAGGTATGTTTTAAGCAACTTTAAAAAGCTGTGGGTGTGGGTTTTGTGTCCGTCCCCCCCCCCCCCCGTTCTCCCCAAGTCAGATAAATAAGATATGCATAAAAATGATGGAGGAAGAAGTGCTGTCCTACACAAGAAATGTATCCTGAATTAAAGGCAACAGCTGTTGAAACAGGAATTAGCATAATAAAGTAAGCAACAGGTTAACAGTTTTAAAAATTGAGTTTTCAGGGTGCCTGGCTGACTCAGTAAGTGGTGTGCTACTCTTAATCTTGGGGTTGTGGGTTTGACCTCATGTTGGGTGTAGAGATTGCTGAAAAAAAAATCTTAAAAAAAATGGAGTCATCAAATGCTGCATGGCACAATCTATACTATAGAAATTACTGAAGTACTGTTGCCTAGGATGGAGGAAGTCTGTATGGCTTTTAGCAAGAATGCTTTTCCAGAAAAGCAAATCAAAAGAACGCAGTCAGCAAATTAAGGAGGCTATAGCTAGATATCAGAACTACGGCTTCTCATATCTGTGCTACAAGATCCTGTTTATCCAGAATGAACTAAAATTTCAGGACAAAACAGGGAATTTTAGAGAACATTTCTTTATCCATTTTAAGTTCTTTGCTTCTTTCTCCCCCACCGCCGCACCTGCATTTCAGCATGATCTAGCAGAAAGATGGCTACCATTGGTTACTTTATTTTTCTTTCTGTGGCAAGACTGTCATGGAGCCTGGATATTTCAGGTTTGTATGTATCTCTTACATTGTTCTGTTGTGGTCAAAAACTTAGTAATGGACTTGGTGTACTCAGCTTACTGCTGCTGCTTTATTCTCCCACTAATAAGGGTCAGCTTCAGGGTGAATTAATCATCAAATCTTTTGAGATTGGACGGCCAAATATTAGGATCCACCCTTGTATGATCCTTCTGTGGGCCACTAGGAAGATGCTCTTCTCCAAGCATAAACAAAGGATATGATAAGACACACAAAGCCAAAGCAGGGTTGGATTCTGGAGTTGGGCACAGTCAAATTCAAAATCAATGCCACTATGTTGAAGAAACAGGAAATGATGCAAATGATGAGGCATCCATCAATTAGACCAAAATTCTCCACAGAATATCTTAAAGAGTAATATTACAAAGTTTTGCTCAAGGGCGCCTGGGTGGCTCAGTCAGTTAAATATCTGCCTTTGGCTCAGATCATGATCTCAGGGTCCTGAGGTCAAGCCCCATGTTAGGCTCTCTGCTCAGTGGGGAGTCTGCTTCTCTCTTTCCCTCTCTGCTCTCCACCCCCCTCAAATCTTTAAAAATAAAAAAAAGTTTTGTTCAAAGGAAAATGCATCTCCTGGAACACTCAAATTATGAAACGAAGAATAAATAAAAATAAGCATCTGACTGAAGAAATTAGAATACATTAAACCTAGACAAAACAAAAGAGATAAAGAGGAAAAACAGCTTTAAAAACTAAAAAATACTAAAATAGGTAATTTTGATAAGGTTTAAATTGTTGACCAGCATAAGGAGGAAAAAGTGACAGATTGTTTTTATAAAGCCAATGGAACATTGACACTTGATCTTGGCATGAAGATGGTACTAAAATTGGAAATTTGATATGTTCTAGTTATGTGAAATTTTAAAATAAAATACTAGCAAATGGTATCCAGTGATACATTAAAAAAAAATTTCACCATGGCCAAGGAGGATTCATACCATTTTATAAGGGCAAGGAATTAATAAGAAATAATGGTAATGTATAGACAAATACATTAGAGAAGAAGAATAAAAATCATCCTTGTTGACTACTTCTAGTGCTCAACTATGCTCTTGGATGCTTTATGTGTAGTGACTCAAGTAAGTGAGCCAACCTATGAGGTAGGTAACATCCTTACTTTATAAACAAGGAAATTAAGCCATGGAGCCATTAAGGAACTTAGTGAAGCTCACACATTGATATGTGGCAGAGCCAGGATTTGAACCAAGGCTGTTAGCTACAACTCACAAATGTTGCACTAGTTATGTCTCCAGTATTCATACGATCATCTCAGTAGCTCCCTAAAAGCATTTGACCAAAATTTCTGATTTGGTAGTGGTGGGAAGGCTTGAAAGTGGTTAAATTTCAATAAAACAGGAATAAATGTGTATTCCCTTCCACATTTAAAGACTAAGCCCTTATTGGTTGATTATTAGTACTAGAAAAATGGAATCCAGTTTTAATGGGAAACAATTCCCAGTTTTAATGGGAAACAAAGAGGCTTACATTAAAAAGATCCACTAGGGATCCTTGGGTGGCTCAACGGTTTAGCGCCTGCCTTTGGCCCAGGGCATGATCCTGGAGTCCCGAGATCGAGTCCCACATCAGGCTCCCTGCATGGAGCCTGCTTCTCCCTCTGCCTATGTTTCTGCCTCTCTCTTTCTCTGTGTCTCTCATGAATAAATAAAATCTTTAAATAAAAATAAAAATATACACTAAGGATGAATGCAGAATGAAGTTTTGGGGTTTTTATTTTTATTTATTTTTTAAAGATTTTATTTACTCATTCATGAGAGACAGAGGGAGAAGCAGGCTCCCTGAAGGGACCTGATATGGGACTTGGTCCAAGGACCCTGGGATCATGACCTGAGCCAAAGGCAGACGTTAAACTGTTGAGCCACCCAGGCGTCCCCAGTTTTGGGGTTTTTAATGTAATTTATCTGATGAAATTATGTGATAGCTCTAGAAAAATATGTTTTGCTTCGTATTTGCAGCATAGTCCTAAAGGTGCGTAGGAATAGATGCTGAACCGGGAAGGTTATTTGAGTGGGTACAGATTTTATTGGGGCCAGTTGATCAGTAAACATTTTTGTGTCATGGTAATCTGTTTCCCTGTATAAACTTGAAACTACTAGGACTTGGATTATAAATACTTTATGACAACTTCTGTTTCTCACACCAAAAGCCAGTGTCATGCCTAACAGTAATTCCTAGCAAAGTTCCCATAAATATCAAGAAAAATATAAGAGTATCCACTATTAGTATAATTTAATTTTGTTCAGGAAGTATTTGCCAATCTAATAAGCCAGAAGAAAGATACATATTATAGAGAAGTCAAAATTTTTTGTGGTATTTTATAGTGGAAGCTGAAGCAAATCCAGTCCAAAAAATTGGGAAAATAGCAAAAGAGGATATGGTAAGTTGGCTGGTTCTAACCTTAATACGTAGGAATTGGTAGTTGTTTTCCATAGATGAAAACCAGTTCAAAAATTAATTGGAAGGGAACAGCCCATTTGTGAGAGCAACTAAAAAGGTAAAATACTAGACATAAGAAATATTCAAGAGGGCACCTGGGTGGCTCAGTCAGTTAAGCATCTGCCTTTGGCTCCAGTCATGATCCCGGGGTGCTGGGGTTGAGTCCTGTGTTGAGCTCCCTACTCAGCGAGGAGCCTGCTTCTCCCTCTCCTCCCCACTCCTGTTCTCTCTCACCATCTCTGTCACTATCTCTCTCAAATAAATAAAATAAAAAAAAATCATTAAAAAAAAATTCACAATCTAGGGGCATCTGAGTGGCTAAGTTGGCTAAGCCAACTTGATTTTGGCTCAGGTCATGATTTTAGGGTCCTAGGATCCAGCCCCGCATTGAGCTCCTTGCTCAGAAGGGAGTCTGCTTCTCTTCTCCCTCTCCCCCTGTTCCTCTTGTTCGTGCTGCATTAGTGAACATGCGCTCTCTCTCTCTCTCTCTCTCTCTCTCTCTCTCTCAGATCTTTAAAGAATAAAAGAAATATTCAAGATCTCTATGAAAATTTTTATAAATGCTACTAAAGTTTGTAAAAAGACACAAAAAAAGAAGACCTCATATTCCTGTAAAGGACAGTTTAATTTTGGAAGAGTGACAGGTCTTTAAATTTATCTATGAAGTTGCTTTCTCTGTAAGATGTCAACAAGATTTTTGGGAGGAATATAACAAAGATACACTAAAGTTTACCAGGAAAAGTGTGAAAGCCAGGAAAACCGCTAATTCTGAAAAGAGTAAGAGCAGCAGAAGAAATCCCCATACTAGAAGTAGAAGAAGAGCACTAGAGCACTAGAAGAAGAGCACTTCTCTAGCACAGGTTGGTGCTAGAGAAGTGCTGGGCTACTCGCAGAGCAAGTGCAGACATATGCACACATGTTCATGGGCACTGATCACTTCCATAGGCAATCTCTTCTCTTTGCCTCCTTACGCTGAAATTCCAGAGATTACAGTATGGTTCATAAGTGAAACTATGAAAGTTATAGAGTGAAGCATGGAATTGATTACTTGTTCATAATATTAGAGTGATGAAGGTCTTCTGAGGATGTTGTAAAGCCTAGAGACAAAGAGCATAGATTTATTTATTTATTTTTAAAGATTTTGTTTATTCATGAGAGACACACAGAAAGAGAGAGGCAGAGACACAGGCAGAGGGAGAAGCAGGCTCCATGCAGGGAGCCCGACGTGGGACTCGATCCCGGGGCCCCAGGATCAGGCCCTGGGCTGAAGGTGGCGCTAAACTGCTGAGCCACCAGGGCTGCCCCAAGATCATAGATTTAATATCAAAATTAAGAATTTCAGTATCACAAAAATAATAAAGTAGGGAAAATATTTGCCACAATTTGATTAATAGAACTAGGAATAATTTTCTTCATATATGAAGATTTTACAAACCAGAAAAGTTTTTTTCTACCTATTAGAAATGTAGGTATGAAATTTTCACATTAGAAATGTGAAATTTAGTAAAAAACTCATATGGTCAAAATGAAAAGTGCTGTAGTTTAATCGAAAATTTTAAATGACAAAGATTTTTTACACATCAGAGGGTTAGAAATTACAGTTTAATACCTGGTGCTGGAAATGGGGAACTGGTATTGACTGGCATACATGTAATGGAAGTATAAATCATCCTATTTTCTGGGGGCAATTTGGAGTAGCTATCAAAACATTATCACTCTGAGCCAGTAATGCCATTCTAAAGATTTATCCTACAAATAAACTTGCAAGAGTTCACCCAGGTAAGGTGTAGGTACAAGGTTGCCCAATGCAGCATTCTTTAAAAGAAATAAGGGGAAAAAACCAACTTAAAAACGGACCAAAATAGGAGACAGAATAAATTATATATAATACATCTAATTATTAGAATGTTATATATACAATCATTCAAAATACGGGGATATCTCCATGCTCTTACTAGAAAATCTTATTGTGAAATGTGGGTATCACTAGCAGTGAGCTGATTGGTAAAGAGGCTTTTCCACTAGTCAGGCTGGATGCAGCCCTGAGCCAGGGCAGTGAGCTTAAAGGGGGGAGATGCTTGTATATGTAACTGATTTATAACAACTTTATTTTCTCTTTAAAAAAAAAAAATCTTTTCATAATGTTTAATGTGTAAATTTTTTTCCTAAAACAGTAATATATTTCTTTTGTGCATTTTCATTTAAAGGACTCATTTGTTTTTTTGGATCTGTAAGCAGCCCAACTCCAAGGAATCTGGCATCTCTGAGTCAAGCATAAGTCATTATTTAACAGTTTTAATACCTGCTAAAATTAGAAATAATTCCTGTCCCTGAGCCAGGCCTTTGATTATTTACACTGCAGAGGAACAATTTTTACTGCCCCTTTAAACCGATTCACACTAGCGCTGAGGAGCATTCAGATTTAAGTCGCTGCCTTCAGCACTCTGCCAAAGGGGAGAGCATATTCTTCATGAACAAAGTGTTCTGGTGCACAGAGGTGGTGTGGCTCTCCTGCTTCTGGGGATGGATGCTGTAAGTAGGGGACTTGGTACCCAGGAAAGTTTCCTGACCCCTTTCAGGACCTTCCTTCGGGCAGAGTTTGGGCCTGCAGTGGTTTCCAGTACAGTTTTTCTCAGCTGAGGAGTTTAGGTTTTCTAATAGAAACATGGAGCAAGCCAACTGGAACTCCAAAACAAAGAGACTTTAGGCCAAAGTGTTCAGTGTTTCATTTTCTTCTTAGTCTATCTTGTGGGAAGAGGACGCACAGACCCTGGTGTGACACACTTAATGAAAATAGCTTGTTTCCATTTGCTTCACATGAGAAAGGAAAAATATAGTGCGCAGTAGGGTCAGCAGGTCTTGGGATCTTCCTGAGGGTCTCTCCTAAAGCTGGTCCAAGGCTGCTTCCCCATCCTCCTCTGCCCACTCACCATTTTTCCACCCACATTATGCTCCAGCAGAACGTATTTGAAAAGTTCCTCAAGAACACGACACTGCAGCTCCTTTGACACAAGACCTACACCTTCATCTGTGCCGCCACCTTCAGCTGAGTGTGCTTTACCCTGTTTGCCCACTGTCCTGTCTCTAGATAGCTTGTTAATGTGGGGCCTTTATACACCTTGTGCGTATATTTCCCTGCTTTCATTTATCACACTGTAGTCTTAATTATTTGCATGTCTTATCTCTCCCCAGGCCAGGGTTCTTGTTTATCTCTAATCTCAGATACACAGGGCAGTGCCTTTGAATAGTTGGGTGAATTTAATTTTCTTAGTATGCTAAGAGACCAGTGTAAGAGCAGCAGAAGAAATCCCCAACAAAAATAAATGAAAATCTTGACAGTGTTATCCTGTAAGTCTGAATGAAACTGGAAAAACTTTTTTTTCTTAAGATTTTATTTAGTTTCTTGAGAGAGGAGAGAGCATGAGTAGGGCGTAGGGGTAGAGGGAGAAGCAGACTCCCCGCTGAGCAGGGAGCTTGACATGGGGCTTGATCCTAGGACCCGGACATCAGGACCAGAGCCAAAGACAGATGCTTAACCGACTGAGCCACCCAGGCACTCCAGAAAAAGCATTTTTTATTACAAACTTAAGGAGGAAGGACACCACTGGGAAGGCTGATGTTTGTTGACTGGACCCTGACTGCCTTGCTCCCTGTGGAACCCCTCCCCTCCCCTCATTGGTGTTAAGACTCTTTAGCTGACTTTCACTTTGGTTGTGCAGGGTAGATGGCATCTGCCTTGGTTCTAAGTGTGGAAGCTGAGCCTCAGAGAGGTACAGCAAACTGTCTTAATTGGTCTGTCAGTGTCGCCCTTTTGTCATCGTCATTAGACCTTCATTATCTTCATCTCCTGTTAACTTAAAAAATACAGAAAAGGAAAAGAGCATTATTATGAAATTGAGAAAATATGACCTGCCGTTTTTTTTACATAAAAATATAGCATTGTCACTTGTCAGTAAAAAGTAATCTTTTTATACCATTTACTGATCAAAAGATTCAACTGCTACCTAAAATTTCATTAACATTTTTAAAAATTCAAACTACTGAACCTAAAATACTCTTATTTTTATTTTTTTAAAGATTTATTTATTTATTTATGATAGAGGCAGAGACACAGGAGGAGGGAGAAGCAGGCTCCACGCAGGGAGCCCGACTTGGGACTCCATCCCAGCTCTCCAGGATCACACCCTGGGCTGAAGGTGGTGTTAAACCACTGAGCTACCCAGGCTGCTGGGCTTCACATCTTCAGCAGTCTGATATACAGCCACTCTGTTCAGGGCAGCCTCCCAGAGTCACTGCCATCCTTTGGTATGATAGCAGGAACATGCACTCTGCAGTCAGACACACCATGCCAGTTCCACCAGTTGACTTTCTGTACCTTGAACAAAGAGTATTGGTTTTTTCATTGGTAAAACTGGGAAAATAATGTTTATTTGATGCAGTTGTTTTGAGAATTAAATGTATGAAAATACAGTATAGTACATACTTGCAGGCCTTCCATGACCTTATTCCAGCTTCTACCTCCCAAAATGCATGCTTAGAGTCCCTTATCCACAGCACATATTTATCATACAAAGTATTTACATTGTGGTATATTTGTTTACCTTGGCAGTCTCCTATAAATTGTGAGTTCCCTTCTTTTGAATCTCTAGCATTTGGCAGAGGGCCTAGTCCAGAGTAGACACTAAGTGTTAGTGAACAATGAATGAATGTATGTTTTGCTGTTTTAAGTTCTCAGCAGAGGACTTTAAGTCTTTTTGTGGAAGGATAATTATATATACTGTCTTGTATAGTACGTATGAACTAGTCCTGTAGTCTCAAATTTTTTGGTCTCAGGATTCCCGCCCCCCCTTTTTTAAAAGATTTTATTTATTCATGAGAGACAGAGAGACCAAGACACAGGCAGAGAGAGAAGCAGGCTTCATGCAGGGAGCTTGATGTGGGACTCGATCCTGGGACTCCGGGATCACACCCTGAGCCAAAGGCAGACGCTCAACCGCTGAGCCAGCCACGCGTCCCTCAGGACCCCTTTACACTTAAAAATTATTGTGACCCTAAAGAGCCTTTATTTAGGTGGATTAGTGTTTATGGTCTTAGAAATCAAAGTTTTAAAATTAATTCACTTTATTTTAAAGATAAATTGCAAGAGTAGGAGGAAGGAAGAGAGGCAGCAAGGGGAGGGAGAGGGACAAGCAGGTTCCACCCTGAACACAGAGCTGGATGCAGGGTCTGATTCTACAACTCTGAGATCATGACCCAATCCAAAAATCAAGAGTTGGTCGCTCAACCCACTCAACTGACTGAGCCACCAGGCGCCCCTGATTCACTTTAAAATAACACATTAACATAGACAACACATTTTCATGAAAAATAACTTTTCCAAAAAATTAATGAGAAAAGTATGTTTTCCAGTTTTGCAGGTCTGTGTAATGTCTGGCATAAAAGGTAGGTGGAGCCTCCTATCTGCTTCTGCATTGTGTCTGTGATGAGAAGTTGTTATGGTTAAAGTACATAGAGAAAATCCAGCTTCACACAAATATGTGGCTGGAAAAGGAAGGACTTCCTGGACCCCTACAAGGGTGTCAGGGACCCCCAGGAGCCCTCTGAAAATACTGAAAAAACTGCTGTGATCTTAAAAGGGAAAATGTGATAGTGTCCAGAAATTAAAGGGTTAAGGAAGGAAAAATTCCACTTGTTTAGCCCTGTATATAATGGCTTAACTGTTGTCATTTTGTCATTCGTAGGTTAAAAATATCCTTCATGAAGAAGAAAGATCGTAAGCAACATGGTGGATTCAGAAGCTCATGAAAAGAGACCGCCCATCCTAACATCTTCAAAACAAGATCTGTCACCTCACATTGCAAATGTTGGTGAAATGAAGCATTACTTGTGTGGCTGCTGTGCAGCTTTCAACAACGTAGCAATCACATTTCCCATTCAGAAGGTGCTCTTTAGGCAGCAGCTGTATGGAATCAAAACCCGGGATGCAGTGCTTCAGTTGAGGAGGGATGGCTTTCGAAACTTGTACCGCGGAATCCTTCCCCCACTGATGCAGAAGACAACTACACTGGCACTTATGTTTGGTCTGTACGAGGACTTATCTTGCCTTCTCCGAAAGCATATCAGTACCCCTGAGTTTGCAACCCGTAGTGTGGCAGCAGTACTTGCAGGCACAACAGAAGCGATTTTCACTCCATTGGAAAGAGTTCAGACATTGCTTCAAGACCATAAGCATCATGACAAATTTACAAACACTTACCAGGCTTTCAAGGCACTCAAATGCCATGGAATTAGAGAGTATTATCGAGGCTTGGTACCTGTTCTTTTCCGCAATGGATTCAGCAATGTCCTATTCTTTGGCCTTCGAGGTCCCATTAAGGAGCATTTGCCTACCGCCAAAACTCACAGCGCCCATTTGGTCAATGATTTTATCTGTGGAGGTCTGTTGGGTGCCATGTTGGGAATCTTGTTTTTCCCAGTTAATGTTGTGAAAACTCGCATGCAGTCTCAGATTGGTGGGGAATTTCAGTCTTTTCCCAAGGTTTTCCAGAAAATCTGGCTAGAGCGGGACAGGAAGCTGACAAATCTTTTCAGAGGTGCTCATCTGAATTACCATCGATCCCTCATCTCTTGGGGCATAATCAATGCAACTTATGAGTTCTTGTTAAAGATTATATGAGAGAAACTATCAGTTAAGTGCCATTTATTAACTGAATAGATCTAAGAAGAATGTGGTTTGGCATTGTTCCTAATTGGCCAAATATAAGTTGGTGTCATTAGTTCAGAGCACAGTGAATTATGGGCAAAGCTATTTTCTTGAAGCACCAACAAATTCAGAATAAAAGGTTCTAATAGGAAAATATAAGGGGTTTTTGGTTTTGTTTTTTATCATTATCTGAGAACTTTGGGCTAATTGCCTGGTTAATAGCTGTCTATCTGACTGCTTTTGACAAGGAAAACTAGTAGCCAAGGTATGATTCTTTTTTCCAAAAGTCTTTAAATCTGTATTGAAATGTCAATGGCCATGACCAGCCAGAGAAAAGGCTCCTAGAGAGAGCCCTGTGAATTCTCAGGCTTCCTTCTCTTACTCCATTTCTTGCTTCTCTGCTCTTAGGAGGAGTTGCAAAGGGTAGTCTTCGTTAAACATAAGCATATACTTGTAGGACAAAGGACAGAGGAAAACAGCTTATTAGATGTAGGCTTTTTATGATAAATTGCTTATATTAGTTTTGAAACTAAGTACCTATTGGGATAGTCCTTATAGACTATTCAGACGTGGTGTGGCCGACCCAAGCAGCTAGTCAAAGCTCCCATTTTGCTAGGTTGGAGAGTTTTGTGTTTAGTTCTGAATATGACCTTAACCCCTCCCAGATGTCCTAATGTTAATTTCACTTATTTCATTGCCAAAACATGTGGAGGCCTAGATTTCCTTACTGGTGTTTCCTCCTGTGAAGAAATTTTATATTAATTGCAAACTCTTGTTAAATCCGTTTCTTTGATTAATTGTTGCCAACTTAAGAGCTTTGGGAGTTTGGGGAGTGTTTTTTCTTTGAGTCATAGTTTGCCATATTGAAGTATCTCTTAAAGCCCTCCTTTAAAAAAAGAAAAAAGAAAAACACTTCCATAAAATTGTATTTTGGAAGTCTATTAATGGGATTCTAGATTTCTCTCCCCTGGTTTTTAAACATTACAGAAGGGAAAAACCTCAAGATAGCTTTCATCCCAGAGTGTTAGCTTTTTTATTTGACTCTTGGAAATAGAGACTTCCATTAGGATTTTTACATTTTGGAAACCCAGTTTTAACTATTTTATCATTAAAACCGTAAGACAGTGTGAGATGATAAGATCTAAATAAAGATATTTAAAGGATTAATTTTAAATGCTGCTATTCATAATAGCTGGGTAGCATACTCATCCCTTACATGACAGAGAAAAACTTACTTGTCAAAGGAATTAGATTTTAAAATATTTTTTCCAGATGAAGCAAAATGCCTCTACCAATTGATTAATAAAACATGGAACATCCTAGAAAAGTAATTTATCAACCTTTTAAAAATCCACATCTGTAAATAAGTAGTTAAGATTGCTTGCCAGCATCTGACATGGCAGTTAGATTTCTTACTATTAGTTTTTCATCATTCTGGGTAATTGCATATGAATATGTGCATACACTGACCAAAATAAAATCAGGGTCTCAGTTGGTAGTTTACTCCATTTCTGGGCAGATAGTCCCAAAAGAGATGTTTACCTCTAAATGCAGTATGGCTGGTCGAAAAAGCATCCTTCCAACATAAAGGATTGAGAAGCATTATCAAGCACTTGCCAGGCAGTAATGAGCCTCAATAGCTTTACAACAGTCCCTCAAAATGTGTTGGAAATGGCAGTTTTCTTTGGAAACCAAGATACAGAGGTGAGGATTTCAGAAAAGGATTTGACACCAAATAAACGTGAGTAGCATCCTTTGGCTTACTGAATTGAGCCTGGCTTTGAATCGGGAGATGAAGGCACCTGGTCTGAGCATCAGTGGTGTGTCTTGGTGATGCTCAGTGGGTGGCAGGTGAGTTAGGGGATGGGCTTCCTTTTGTCTATACACTCCTGTGAGGTGACAGATTCTGAAGTTCTAAAGCACTTTGTGAAATACAGATGAAGTGAGAATTTGAAAGGGGATACTTTGGTTTCTGCAATCTCAAACTTGTGGCGTTTAAAAACATTTTGAAGATCGATTTTAACTCCTAATATATTTGGATTTCTTTGTCACTTTTTACAGCTTTTGAAGACCAAACTGTAAATACATTACCAGGGATGGGTTTGTCTTGTCCTATAGACTTCTTAAATTTGACAAAAAATAAACTTGCTTGTGGTAGCCAACAGCTTTGTCTGAACCTTAAAAGAAGTCAAAATGTGTTATTAATAAGAGATTCTAACTACTTGTTTTTACTTTCAGTGTGAACTAGTAATTTTGAAAAGGCAAACCTGATCGAATAACTTTATTTGAAGAGCTTTAAAAGTGGCCTTTCTGTTACATATGTGGCACAGACAGTTTATGAGCACAGGCACCCTGGTCCTGCCTCCCATACTTCATCTCTGATGCCACCAGAGATGTTATGGATTCTATATTTAGAACGCTTGGGGTAGTATGAGCCCTCCGGACTGCATCACAGAGCAAACACAACCTCTCTATGGTGGCAGATTTGTGTCTTTGTTTCATTTGTGGTTGGAGACAGTTGATGTTTTTGTCTCAATACTCACCGTACCTTATGGTTGGTTATGTAATCACTTGCTATATATTGTAAACTGTGCAATAAAACAGAATTGTGTATCTAGAGTCCTCTTTGGAGACCTGAAATTTCCTAGCTCGATTACAGTGGTAATACTCCGTTCTCATGCTGTGCAAACATATAAGGGAATCGGCGGCAGAGAGGATGTGTTTGGAATGGGACTGGGAATGCTTCTGGGTCAGCTTACTGCACTGTGGGAAATGGCAGGTCATTGTGGATGAAGTTCTGTAGGGAGACAAGAGCGGTCAAAGTGAAGGCAAGACCGGAGAGCACATGTGAGGGAAGGGTGAGCGATCAGACTTGACCTCCTTTAAATTAAAATACCCTCTGGTTTCTCATATGTGTATAAATGCGTATCAAAGACTTAACAGGCGTTCTCCTTAAATTCGAGGATTTTTTTTTTCATTTTTAATGTTGTTGTCTTTTTGCTTAATGGTATTTGCTTGCCTAAATGGCTCCCAAATCGTGGAGGAGTCTCTACATGTTTGGTTTTTTTTTTAAGTTTCATTATTAGAAGTGGTTAAGCACACAAAGCTGTTTTTCTTTAATATTTTTTAGTTTTGAGACTGAGTTTAAATGAAATTTATTAAGTGTGTCAGTTAACTTTCTTTTGGTAATTATGTTCGGAATAAAGTGGGGTTTTTAAAAGTCTGTTCTATTTGATCTTCTCTTGTGGTTGGGTTAGAGTTACTAGCACTTTTTTTGGTGAAGTCTTTTTGTTGAGAGAAAACATTTAGCCTACTACTTTGACTCTTCAGCAACTCCACCTGATAATTTGTAGGTAAGACAGTCCTTCATTTATCCATCTTACTTGGTCAAGAGGAGTGCCAGATAAGTTAATTTTCCAGGGGTGCCTGGGTGGTTCAGTCAATTGGACATCTGCCCTCGACTCAGATAGTTCGGGGATTGGGCTCTCCTTGCTTGATGGGGAGTCTGCTTCACCCTCTCCCACTCCCCCTGCTTATACTCTCTGTCTCAAAATCTTTTAAAAAGTTAATTTTCCAGATAGCTTAACTGCAAAGCATATGGTTTTTCCTAAATAAAATAAACTTTTACCTACTGAGTATAAACTTGGCATATTCAGCTTATCAATAATTTCTGTGGTGTAGCATACTTTCAGGGTCACAGTTACCCCAAGCTAAATGATCTGGACGTTTGCGCTTTTTGAGTTTTCTAATATCTCCTTTTGACTTCACAGCTACTCCTGTTAGGAGATGGTGAAATTATACTAGCTATATACTGTTGTGTACGCTTCGGATTTTGAGGTGCTCCCTGTCTCCAGGACGGTAGAGGCGGTCTGATGAGGACCACTAGGGAAGGGAGCAGTTGCCACCATAGCGCTTCTAAAACTCCAGTTCAGGGTTGGAATTCTTCATAAAAGTGAATATCCTGAACTTTAGAATTGATGAAAGGGGTGTTGTCCGCGTCGTCTGATGCATCATTTTAGCCTGCCACAGCCGCTGGGGGCGCAGGGTGAGGGGAGCGAGTGGTGTGCTCCCCCCGGGTGTGACTAGGAGTGGGCCGGGGGACCCCGGCAAGCTGCGGGCTGCTCCGGATCGCCAAGAGGTAGGCACACAACTTAATCCATTGAGCTTCAGGGGTTTCCAAGGGGGATCTTTTTTCCAGTGAGCATATCTGATTTTGAAGTAGAAATTGAGGATAAAATAGGACTTCGCTATACTCTGTGCCTTCGAGCCATTCTGCACATAGCAGTAAGAGGAACCTTTCAGACGGCGATCCAGGCCCTGCTCAGTCCCCGCCCTGTGTCCCGTACCCCCCACCCCCCAGCTCAGCACTCCTCCCCATTCACTTAACTCCTGCTGAGGCCTTCCGATCTCTGCTCAAATGTCACTATCTCAGGGAAGCAGGCTCACACTTTCAGGACTCCAGTTCCCTTCTTGTATGTTCTTACGCCACCACCCGCCTGTTTTAATTGGACTGATGATTCGATGTTTCCTGCCCCTTTGAGTGCCAGCTCCATAAGGCTGGGGCTCTGCTGTCACATCTCCGCTCAAGTGCCTGGCCCCGTGTCTGACACCGGTAGAGATCTGGTAAAAAAGAATCAGTCAAGAGAATGAAAGGACAGGTGAATATTCAGGATCATGGCATTCTGGAATATCCTGTTTGACCTTCATTCCTTGATGGGTCGGGTCCTGGGGGTTCCGTAAGGAAACAACTTTTACCTGGCTTGGGCTGCCTTGGTGAAATACCGTAGACTAAGTGGCTTAACCGACAAACACTGATTTCTCACACAGTTCTGGAAGCTAGGGAGACCAAGATGAGGGTGCCAGCAGACTTGGTTCCTGGTGAGAGGCCTCTCCTTGGTGGACAGACTTCTCACTGTGTCCCCACATGGCAGAAAAAACCTCGTGACCTCATCTAAACCTCCTCACCTCCCAAAGGCCCCACCTCCACATCCCATCATACTGGGGTTAGGCCTTCAACATTTGGAGGCGATACAAACATTCAGTCCATAACGTGTATGAGCCTAAACGATTGATGAGCCTAACGATCATCTTAAATAGTGTTGACTGCTGCTTTGTTACTGTAGAAGTGCCGTGAAGGCAGTGACTTAAGAGCAGACCACTTCTATCCTCACTGATCCCTTCATTGCCAACAGGAATAGAAGTTTTGGTTCAGGCATTCTGGGGAACTGGTCATGACTAGTCAGCAGTTCGTTGTGGGTAAAGTGGTGACCTCCTGATCTGAAGCACACCAAAAAATGGGGAATGCGTTGAGTTCCGTGGAGAAGGCTACCTTTGTGTCTCCTGCGACACTAGGACAATGAAACCCATGTCTCTTTCAGGGGTCGCTATACCTACACTTGCTAAGTGGACCCTGATATAGAGCCTTCTCCCTTCCCATGGGCAAAGAGCAGCTTTGGACCTTCTCTCATACTTCTCTGGGAAAGGAGTAATTGAACAAGAAATTGCCAGGTTCTCCTGGGCTCCTCACTCCCCAGTAAAAAATGGCCAGAGTTTTGAGGAGGTCAGATAGTAGGGAAAAGTGGGTATGTATGGGATCCAAGTACTTTTCATTTGTAATCTGTATGTAAATGATGAAGGTGGAGAGTCAAAGGCTGGCAGGTGTCCTAGGATTGATAGGCCTTGAGAAAGCAGAGGTGACATCCAAGATCAGAGGTTTGCCTTTGATGTTTGGAGCCCTTCAAAGCTGCTGCTACTTGTGGGCCGGGCATAGAAAAGCATATTGTTTTTGTGTTTGAGGGCAGTACTACATGTATCTGAGTTTATGTTAACTCAAGCTACAGAAAAACAGAATAGCTAATAATTTCAGTTTGTGCCTTTTACAGTTTTTTCCTGGTTTCCTTTGTTCAGCAAATTTCCCATACATCCATCTGCTTAGTACCAGAAAGCTGCCCTATTAAGGACAATTTTATATCAGAAAATTCCAGACTTGTGGAAAACACGGAGAGCGTTGGCTGCCTGAGACAAATGCCAAAGTAAAAATGTAAAGTTCCCTTGATTCCCTACTGGCTCCCAGGCTGGATGAGGTCTGCTCCTGTGGCGTATGGTGACTTTCAACCCCGGTGCACTCTCCGCGATGTTTCTGCTGTATCCTTCAAGACAGTGTGAACTCTCTGAGGGCAGGTACTGTGATCTCCGTATCCTTAGACGAGAGAGGTTCTCATAGTAAATATCTATTCAACGAATAAATCCTACTCTGATCCCAGATGTTCTCTGGGAACTATTATTAATTATTCTGTTTCAGAGATAACTTTGAATTTCTTAGGAATCTCTTTTTAAAATATATATGATTCTATTTATATTGAATTTCTAGAAAAGGCAAATCTGTGCTAGAAGTGGAGGTAGACAGTGGTTGCCTCTGGGAGGGAGGGCAAGGAGAGTGGAAGGGGTATGAAGGAACATTCTGGGGATGATGGTAGTACTCTCTGTCTTGATACAGGTTTGGGCAACACAGGTGTGTATATTTGTCTGAACTTAGCAGACATACCATTGATACACACCTCATTGTGTGGAAAATTTAAAGCAAAGATACTGAATTTTAGTGATCATGTATTGCTGAGGATTTTTAGGAGGATGGGTACAGGTATCTGCAGTTTATTCAAAATACATAAAAGATTAAAATGGGTTGATGGATGGATAGAGTATTAGATTTGTGATAATTAGGAAAACCTTAATGGTCCAATCATGGTCAACAGATGTTCACTGTAAAATTCTTTGAACTTTGCTGTATGTTGAACATTTTCATAATAAAATGCTGAGAGAAATCATTGGGGAGTTTATCATGGTATCTGCTGTCTGCACTGTATTGATTCTTTAGTTTAATTCTTTCAGTGTGTGTATTCCTCTTAAATTTCCATGAAGTGCCCGGATGGATGCCACAACCATCCTTGCTAGGCGGGAACACCAGCCTGCGGCCCCTCCCACCCATCAGAAAGTATGGCCTCCACCTCCTCCACCGCCCCAGACTGTGACAGGGCACATCCACTTGCTGCTTCCTAAGATTGCCCAGTGGCAAGGGGTCCACTTGCCCCTTGAAAGGGGGGGGGGGATGGATTGTGATTTTCCTGCCAGTACACTGCAAGTTTTCGTAAATGTCAGGAAATCCTTCTTTTAGTTACATATGGTCATTAAGTGCTGGCACGTCTGTACACACACATAAAAGACTAGGTCATAACTGCCTAAAGAACATATAGTGTTTTCGGAACAGATCCAATAGATACTTTGTTTATTTAACTTTTAAGAAGTAATCCTTTCACAATGAAATTTGGATCCTTCATTTTACCCAAAAAGTAATCTTTTCTAATAGTTAAGGGTTTCTGCGAATCAATGTCAATGCAGCAGTCCCGCCTACCCATAATTTAAATGGTTTTGGGTGGAGAGCACTATGTCCCTAGGAAAGGTTTAAAAAAATGTTCTGAGTGTGTGTCCTGGTTAAGGTTTCAGGTGTTCCTTTTCTGGATTTATTGTTAGCAAGAGTTGGAACTATGTACAGCTCACACCAGCCTGTTCGTGTGGCAGCGCTCCTCTTTGAGCTAGAAGATAAGCCACACAGCACCAGGTCC